TTACTGTAAAATGACTAACAAAAGAGTGGGGAAAGAAAAAGGGGTTTTATTTTTTTTCCCCTCTATCTCTCCACTCTCGTGGCATCACTTCGATACATAACAATTTGCCTCTTGGTGCATTGCCCACAGAGGGGAGGGCAACACTAACGGCATAACCATTCGTGCACTCCACTTAGACACCCACCGACAAATTTCGGAGGCACCATTCTACCAACACTGTGGATAGTCTCCTACTCTTGGCAAAGATATCCACTCCTGACTAATTGTAAGTATAAGTTAGTTGATCAAAGACCAGCAGAAGCAGAGAGAGGGAGAGATGGAGGACAGTGTGATTGTACACATTCACACACAGTGAAACAACTTGTAAAAAGGGCACGCACAAAGGTTGAGATTTGAGAACTGAAAAGTCTCCACTCCTGCTCTCTCTCTCTCTCTATTTCTCTCCGCAGTCTGGGTTAATGGCTGCTGGTGCTGTGGCCAGAAAATTACCATGACTTAGACCGACCAATCGTGCATCCCATTTCGCTACACTCAATGCAGTCGTAAATGTGTCCCCTCTGTGGCAGACCTATTTTGTGGATTTGTACCAAGTGGGGTAGAAATTGAAGGCATGATGTAAGAGGCAGGCTCTGCACCAACACCTGATTACACAATGCACCTCCTCTTCGTGTGGATAAGAAGCGGTGGAAGGGAGAAGGCTCAATGGACAATTGTTGGTGACACAAAAAATCGCATCAAGTCACTACAGAAGATTGAACTGATCCAAAGGTGGGGGTTACTGCTCCACTGGCGTTGAGATTGACAAGGCACACAAAACGTGTCCAGCATGTGAGGCAACACCAGAGCAGGAAGTGGATAGAGGAAGGGGAGGTGAGGGTGTGATGAAAGGGGAGGCAGTGCTATCCCTCCCTTTGCCTTCTCCTTCTTTCTCGTGCAGATTGTCTACCACCACAGACTGTCAAGTAGGTCTAAATTGTCATGTGTGAGGGCATGTGTGTGTGTGTCTCTGACGGTGTTGCATTTCGTCGTCAGTGTGCATTTCTCTACTTCTCGCAGTTTCATTTAACCAACTCCTTCTGGATGTCTAAGCATGTGTGTGTGTGTGTGTGTGTGAAACACGATGCAATCGCACACACACTCGGTCTGGTCGCTTGTGTGCAGTAAAACTGACAAGCCTCATAAACTACTCGCATGAGTAGTGATGCGTTGGTTTGGCCTAGGCCGGGATGGACTTGGAGTGGGGGCTGAGGGTGATGTGGAGGATGTCGTTAACCTGATATTACTGTTACGTCACCCATTTGTGTGTCAGTTTTTGTGTCCTCGTGTGGCAAATAATTGCTCATAAGAAGACTGTAAAACAAAAGGTGTAGCAAGTGAAAAGGAGGCAAATCATTGTGTATCATTTGACTGGGGTTGTGAATACGGTTGTGAGGAGGAAGGGTGGTCTCTCAAACACCTACTTTGGCTTTGACTGTTTCCGTGCTTAAAGTAGTATCTTTCTCATTACTCTCCTATGAGTGTTTAGGGGTTCGCGATACTACTTACTATTTGACATTGGCAATTTTACATAAATCGTCTCATATTGCCTCCTTCTGTGCTGAGTGTGATGGGACAGGTGAATGACGAATGGTAGTTGCTAGCTGAGTCGCGGAGTTGGGTGCTGCTGCGTCCCTCAGCGGTGTAGTGAACCAAGAGTGTCACGAAACTGGACGTGACCGCTCGACCATCACACCAAATAGCCGCATCACATACAAACCCACGCGTGTATTCAGGGGGGTGATTTGATGCACAGGCGTTTGTGTGACCCAGATTTTCTAAATGATAGGCACACACACACACACACACACACGCACCTTAAAGCCAACTCGCATGGAATATTAGTGGGATGAGTTGATGAAAATGGGATTATAGTTGAGTGTTACATTTG